TTTTTTTTTTTTAACAGAACACAGAACACTTTATTACACGAACCAAGCAAGGAGGGAGGATGATTTATTTGCCTTCCCAGGCCTTGATTTCCCTCCAGCTCCTTGCCCTGTAGCACATAGTCATCTGCTCGGCCACACTGGCCCGGTCTTGAAGGGATGCATGCAAGAAGCTTGCCCTGCTGGAACTGCTCCTCTAGAAGACTGCTGATTTTGGCATTCTTTTTCCTTTCATCATATTTCTTCTGAATTTTCTTTGATTGCTTTTTGTTTAAAATCTCTTCGTCCTCAGGAGTCAGCTTGGCCCCCCCTTCTTGCGTCCCAAGGGCCGTGCATAGTGGGACTCGTACCACTGTCCGTATGGTGTGCTGTGCTGTCAATGAGCACCATGCAGTTCTTTACTGGGGTCTTGGTGCAGACCAGTTCATTGTTGGATGCACTGTAGACCACATCAGTAATCCTTGTTTTGCACGTACAACACTCAGAGCCCCAGGAGAAGTTCCCCACATCCAGCCTCAATGCACGGTACTTCTTGTCGCCTCCACGCACATGGACTGTGTGTATGCGACGGGGGCCAATCTTAGTGTTGGCAGCAGCACGTCCCAGCTCATATTTTCACTTCTTGTGGTAGGGCTTTCTTTTGTTCCCGCTCTTACAGCACTTATACCAGTTGTCCCAAGAGATGCCCATGGCTCAGCGCTGATTGGAAAGAGCCCATTCCATCTTTTACCCTCTACTTCTCTACAGGCATCCAGCCACATATTGAATCATCTGCTGTTCCCTGAAAATGCCACATTCTCCCTTGCCTACCTGCCCTTTCACTGTTTCCTTTAACTAGAATGACTTTCTCCTCTGTTTTCAATTCTTTTAGGCATATACTTAGGAGTGGAATTACTGGGTGATATGGTAATCCTATGTTTAACTCTGAGGAAACAACAAACTTCCTGTAGCAGCTGCACCATTTTACATTCCCACCAGCAAGTGGACAAGGGTTCCCATTTCTCCACATGCTCAACAACACTTATTTTCTGTTTTTTGCTCTTTTTTTTTTTTTAGGGACAACCAAGTAGATGTGAAGTGGTACCCCTTTGTGATTTTGATTTGCACTTCCTTAATGACTAGCCTAAATAACTTTAATCCATCTACCTTTTTCCAAGCCACTGACTTGATTTTGACCCGTTCTATTGCAACAGCCTACATCATAGGGTAATTGTTAGGATTAAATTAGTTAATATATAAATCCATACAGGAAGATTCACTTGAAGCATCTCTGTGTCTTTGAAGACCTTCATTCATAGCCTTCCCAAAGATCAGTGCTTCCTCATATGACAAAGGTTTATTTTTGTTAAAGCACCCCAGGAAGTTCTCATATGCAGCCCTGGTTGAGAACCACCAAACTGAGGCACTGTTCCCCAAATTGGCTAGATCATGGGAGTCATGTGGGCACTAATTAAAAGGGTGGATTTCCTGGCCCAGCCCCAGATCTCTGGAAACAATTTCCAGGAGAGGGGCTTGGAAATCTATATTTTAAAACAAGTACCCACAGGTGATTCCTATGACTAGGCCAGTTTAGGAAACCCTGAGCTAGTGGATAATCAAAGGGCAGTAAACACAGAGGGCAGTTTGAAACTAGATAATATGGTTTGCAAAATATGATCTTCTTGCATCCTGGCTCTGGAAAGATAAAGCTTACTGTCATTGGCTGATGACCCACTGCAGGAATGCTGCTTCTCAGATTGGCTCCGCACAGGCCTCCTTGGTGTGGAGACTGTCCATCTTTAACCCTTTGCGGTTAGGAATGCCCTCGCACTCTGTGAAGTCTAGACTTCAGTGTGAGTCCCAGAGAACCTGAGCTACTCCTTCCAGATGCCTTGTCCCTGTTTGTGGCCCTTCTTTTTCAGTGAAATCATAATATTCCTACTATGTGCGGGAAATGTTCCAAATGTTGTATTACCACTAATCCTCACAACATGTCTGAGAAAGGAAGTAGTGTCTCCATTTCATAGATGTAGCTCAGACACAAAGGAGCCTGCCCAAAGTCACACACCTTATGGGGCTGAGCATGGATTCAAACTCACGGGATTGCAAAGTTGTGGCACTTCCCACTCTGCCTCTCAAAGATGACTTCTCTACCTCCAGTTATATTCCCCAGACTATTTTGCTTGCTGCTAAGGCTTCCCAGATAATATACCCAGTAATTTCAGAACTACAGCTCCAAAATACATGGAACTATCCTGCCTAGAGGAATCCCAGGGAGGGAATCCAGGGAGTGTTAGAAAAGGGGAGCTCCATTAGAAGCAAAGGGGGTGGTGAGAGCAGCTAGCTCTAAGCACAGATGGTCACACTCCCCCATCCCACCCCCATCACTACATCCTCCTAGAACTGAATGAAGCCGGAAGGGGATATCACCTCAGCTTTGGGTAGCAGGAAAGAAGCTGACCTCTGAGAGGGAGATAGCAGGGGAGGGGTTATAGCAAGGGAAAAATGGGAGGGGGGCACCCTTTCCCAGGAGAAACAAAAGACAGAAAAGTTTCCAGCTATGTCAGGCTAGTCTTGTGACTATACTATGCTGGTTAGGGGATCCAGAATTTATAGGGCTCTGGAAATTTATTACATTTCAGGATGAGTATCCAGTTGGCCCATGGAGAAGCCATTGGTAGACAGCAGCTGCCCCTGAAGGAAGGCAATAGGGCCTGGAGGACCTCAGGACGGAGGCAAAATGAACCATATATTAGGAAAAGCACCAAGCAAGACTGAAGAAGGCTGCCCCACAGAGGTACTTCCCTCAAGGTTCTCCACAGGCCCCTGGCAGTAATCAACACCTCCACCAATAATCTCATATTCTGAGTGAAAACACTGTGCTTGCTACACAAAAGCCATTTCATGACACATCATCTCATCCTTCTCCAACTAGCCTGCTGCCCCAGGCTCATCCTATATAGAAAATTCTGGAGCTACTACTGGCCTCATTGTCTTCTGGAGGACTTGGGGAGAGGGTACTGTGAATTTGCAAGGGGTGTTGCAAGGGGGTTGGTCAGAGACTTCTGACATGGTATCCAGTTTAGCTGAAAGAGGAGGACAGGACACTAGAGAGAAAGGCGGTGACAGAAAAATGCTGTAGAATGCAGCAGACCTGGGGAAAGGCTTCCTGGAAAAAAAGGGGCTGGCAGTGACTTCATCATCTTCCATCTTCAGGATGGACATTCAGGCCATGAGGAAGTTAAAGCCATGCCTGGTAAAAAAAAAAAAAAAAAANGTCGCCGGCGACTCATGGCAGCCCAGCTCCAGGTCAAGCTGTTGTTCACCATCTTAGCTGTAGAGGATGCAGCGTCACTGGCCCATGTGGGATCCGAACCGGCGGCCCTGCTGCTCAGAGTTCACGCTACCAAGCCAACTCTTAACCAAGGAGCCACTCGGCCGGTGCCAGCAATCACACTTCTTGATATTTACCCAAAGGAGTTGAAAACTTACATCTACACGTGTATGTTTATAACAGCTTTATTCATAATTGCCAAAACTTGGAAATAACTAAGATATCCTTCAGTAGGTGAATGGATAAACTGTGGTACACCCAGACAGTGGAATATTATTCAGTGCTAAAAAGAAATGACCTATCAAGCCATGAAAAGACACGGAGGAAACTTAAATGTAGATTACTAAATGAAAGAAGACAATCTGAAAAGGCTATATATTGTATGATTCCAAATGTAGGACATCCTGGAAAGACAAAACTGTGGAAACAATAAAAATATCAATGGCTGTGAGGAGGGGGTTATGAATAGGCAGAGCACAGATGATTTTTACAGCAGTGACAATACTTTATGACATTACAATAATAAATACATATCATTATACATTTGTTCAAACTCATGGAATGTACAACCAAGAGTGAACCCCAAGGTAAACTATGAACTTTGGGTGATTACGATGTGTCAATATTGGTTCATCCTTGATGAAAAATGTACAACTCTGCTGAGTGATATTAATAATGGGGGAGGCTATTCATGTATGAGGGTAGAAGGTATATGGGAAATCTCCGTACCTGCCTCTCAATTATATTGTAAACATAAAACTGTGCTTAAAAAAAAAAAAAAAACAAAACAAAAAAAAAAAACGTTGAGCCGGCCGAGTGGTTCAGCTGGTTAAGAGCTCGCTTGGGAGTGCCAGCTCTGAGCAGCAGGGCTGTGGTTTAGATCCCACATTGAGGGCCAGTGATGCTCGCCCTCTACAGCTAAGATGATGAACAACAGCTCGACCTGGAGCTGGGCTGCTGTGGGTCGCTGACTACGGCGTAGGCTGCAGCAGGGCTGCAGTGGGCTGCCGTGAGCTGCATGAGCGGCCGGCAGCCGGTGTGAGCTGACGGGAGCCGCTGTGAGCGACCAACCAATGACCGACGACTGATTGCCTCACCCGGGAAGAGCACAATGATCATGCCAACATGAGCCAGTGAAGCAACATCCTCCACAACTAGACTGAAGAACAAAAATAGCAATTTGTCTACCTGTCTGTTCCCCTTCCCCGATTCCCTAACGCTGTTCCCTTCCCCCCAATTCCCCAATAAAATCTTAAAAGAAAAAAGTGTTAAAAATTAGTATGTGTCAACAA